GAGAGAGAGAGAGAGAGAGAGAGAGAGAGAGAGAGAGAGAGAGAGAGAGAGAGAGAGAGAGAGAGAGAGAGAGAGAGATGGCGGAGGAGATCAGACACGGGGCAAGGCACGTGCGCACGGTAGAAGGCGGGAAGACCCTGGTGGGCGGTCGACACGGCAACGGCCAGAGTCTGCACGGAACCAATTCCGCCCTGCTGTGTTGCCTTTTTTTTTTTCCAGCCTACCCGCCACGTTCCGTACTACTGGAAAGATGAGAGGCCTTCCTGGCGGCCACGGACAAAAAGAAGTCCGTGCGTGAGGCCATGCGGGCCCACAAAAATTTTGGACGTCACCAGTCCGACCCTGCCCCGATCTTTCATTTGTTGCTTGTGGCGACAAGTGTTTTTGCTGCATGGCTGGGGCCGTGTACTTGTGGTTTAAGCCCCCACTGCCTCAGTATCGCGCCCGTAGACATGTTGGCTGCTGCCCGGTTCAGCCTACTGGACCCACCTGAGCCTGCAAGAAGGGCCCAACCTCACGAAGGTTCAGAATGGTCAGGCTAAAGAGAGGTTTGACGATTCAGGTTTGCACCGGTGGTGGTTTACAGGAACATACTCACACGAGGGCTGTCTCATTCACATCCAGAAACTGGTGGAATCTGAGGAAAGGGAAAGTGTGACTACCATGGCATGCTCAACTACCCTGGATGCAAAGATAGAAGACAAACAGTGAAACTAGAGAGGTTGAAAAAACACGGATTATCCACTAATGTAACAGCTCAGCAGATGAAAAAAAAAAAAAAAAAAAAAAAAAGCTCAGTAGGTACACCCAAGAACTGTTGAAATGCAGACCTGAGTTCAAATTCCAATGGAATCAAATGAGCGTCAACAACTCTGGATCTACCTGGGGAGCAGAGTTCGAATTCTAATGGGAATCAGGTGAGTGAAAACAACTCTGTGTTTACCTGGGGCTTGTCATTGGGAAAAACGGATTATGGGCTAATGCAACAGCTAAGTAGGTACACCCAAGAACTGTTGAAATATGAACCTGGGTTCGAATTCCCATGGAATCAGATGCTCTGGATTTACCTGGGGACCTGACTGAGTTCGAATTCCAATGGAATCAAACGAGTGAAAACAACTCTGGATTTACCTGGGGCTCCTCAGTTCAAAGATGACATCCGAAGGCCATCAATGTCTTCAAAGTAAGAGGCGTGAAAGTTGATGAAACAAATTTTATTTTTTTTTTCATTTGGTTTCTTTTTTCCCAAAAGCGTACCTTTTGCTATCTGGTCATAAACCCAGAAACACAACACCACTGGGAGGAGGAGGCCCAAACCCCTCCACACACCTTGCAGGCAGGCAAACACTCACACCTCTCGTCCTGAGAAAGAAGAGCCGAAAGATATGAACCCCTCCACACACCCTGCAGGCAGGCAAACACTTCAACCTTTCGTCCTGAAAAAGAAGAGCCGAAAGATATGAATGAGGACGTACTCACAGTAGCACTACCTTACATGCATCTGACAGCGTTTAAGGCCAGATCTGGACGTATCTGGCGGCAATTATGTCCTGAAATGAGTAAAAAGGTCGTAGTGCGAGTATGCCCTGAGTCACATCTCGAATCCCCTCACAAACAGCCCACCCGCATCCCCCCAGCAAGCCCCGGCATCTCCGACAAGCACCCCAAGGCGCGCCAGCTTATAGCTGAATAGGTTTTACATGCACATATACTGCTCATAACAGTGATGGTGCGGGTTCAGTGAACTTCAATCCTTTACAAACCATGGAATACCCATTTTCTGAGCACCCTCCAAACGTTTAGCAGGCTTTTTACTCTTCTTAGCATACTTGCAACCGCACCGTGCGCAGTACCGTGCGGTGGCACCTGCTCGTGCGCCGTACATGAGGCAGTTTCCCTTTTTTGTGTTTGTGCTTTGCTGTTTTTGTAGATACAGAAGAGTGCAACACCTAAGGAACCCATCTTCTTAAGTGCAGTCGTACAGATTCTTCTTTCCGCCCAATTGGGCATGAGAAATAGCCTCAAAAAGGTGTCTGGGACATCAGTCTTGACCTTTAGGTAAAGGCATTACCCTCCCACTAGTTTTTTTTTTTTTTTGCCCCATCCCACAACAAATCTTTAGAGGGGACACAGGTGACCATTGACCCAGCCATGCGACCCCTTTTTTTTTTTTTTTAAGTGAATATTTCCCCCGTGCGCCGCAGATGCCGTGTGCTGCACCTGCAGGTCCGCTTGTGTGCCAAACACGTCCTCTTGCATGTATGCTTCCTAGTGAAGAAATCGTCAAACCCATGATACACTGCATAGCATCGACTACCATTTGGCAAGGAGTCTCCAAATTTTACCCGTCACACTACCGGGACATCAATATCCAGTAACAACAGTTCGGTGGTGTACCCACTGAGCTTACCGCAGGCTTGTTTAGCCTGGGACCCAAGAGGTTTGTGTATTCCCAAGTGAAAGTTGATGACTGAGCACAGAACATTGAGAACTGAATATGGAGCAAGGACCATATACAAGCAGACATTGAGTGTTGGGTATTGCACATGGGTCACTCGGTGCTGAGCACCGAGAGTTGAGTACTAACTGACTATTTAGCATCGATCATTGAGGGCTGAGTATAAAGCATTGAGCATCGAGCATGAGCATTGGGGATTGAGCATTTGGCATCATTGAGCATTGAGCACTGAGTAGTAAATACTAGACACAGTAGTGAGCATCAATGTTGCATACTGTAACGTGCAGACCAGAACAAGAACCGACCTCTCAATGCAAAGTACAAGATAAGACAGCGGAAGACTTAGATACGAATGATCCGAACAATCCATATTGCAATGCAGCCCTGAACACACATCATCATCATCGTTATCTGGTGTGAAGGGGGGGCTGGCGCTTCACACAAGAAGACTGCGCCAGCCCCAACCATACACAGATGAAGAAGGAGGGGTGAGACGAAGAGGAGGGGACGATGGGAATGTCGTCAACACCAAGTCTCGGCACAGGCCCAAATAGTCCCTCGTCGAAATGTCTGAATCCCAAATGTCCAGTCTGGATCCAATGTCGTCAAGTCTCAAGTCACAACTCTTTCTCTCTCTGTCGTAGTCTGAGAAGTCAGGTGGCGAGAGGGTGAGAAGAGATGGTGGACTTAGAAGAGGAAGAAGAAGAACTCTCTCTCTCTCTGTGTCCAGTACTAACCTGTGAAGTTGGCCCCTTGATGCAGGTACCACGAAGATGGAGCTGGAGCGATGACGCCACAGGTAAGTACCACTGGCCTCCGCCAGTATCTCTCCCAACTCTACGATCTACCACCTACCAGCGCCCAGCGCTGAAGACTACTCTATGGCTATGGGCGCCCAGCGCCGAAGACTACAGCTAGCGCTAACTACTGCCTAGCGCTGAAGACTACTGCAGCGCTCCTCCTGAGTGCTGCCCGAATCCTGAAGACTACTTGTGCCTACTGACTCTACCTACCCGTGAAGTGCCTGGGAAGTCCTATGTACTACCACGGGTGCCTCCTGACTGCAGGCGAGCAGTCCAGGAGGCTGCTCTTGCCAATGCCGATCGGAGGCAGGGGCTGCCGCTGCAGCTCCTGCTCAAGGTCGTGGGAACAGGCTATTTCTGGCCTGTTCCTGAGACCCTGTTTCCGTGCCTGAGTCTWAGGGGCGGTTGAAACAATGAGGGCCTGAAAATGGCCCTCCGTTTCAGGCTGGAAAAACTCTGGGTCTGAAAGACCCAGAAATAGGATGAAACGGAGTAGGGCCTGCAGGCCCTCGTTTTTCAGCTTTCAGGCTGAAACGACCGGGGCCTGTAAGCCCTAAGTTTTAGGCTTTTMGGCTGAATGTCCAGGACGGGCCCTGCAGGGCCCGTGTGGCTACGCAGTATGCCACACCCCCCCCTCCTTGAAGAACCGAGCTTACCTGTGAGGGCGAAGCTGACTGTCTGAGGGAGGGACCACAGTCCGGGTTGGAGGGGATGGTCGTGAAGCTTCCTGAGCTAACCTCCGCTTTTCATAATGCGCGTAGATCAGCGGTGCGGATGCTTTCAAATCTGCGCCTGAAATCCACTGAGTGTCATCGCGATCGCATGCTTTGAATGTGACTTTGTACTGCCGCGGCTTGCTGCCGTACTTGCGATCGGTGATGACGCGGTCAACTTCCTGATGACCATCCATAGAAGGAGGGTCCTGCGATCGTCGGCCCGGAAAGTCGTCGCTCTAGGCTGGCGTGTATGTTGCCAGCTTCGAGGCGTGGAAGACCGGATGGACCGTCAGATGCTCTGGAATGTTGATCACAAATGAAGGGCCATCGGGTTCATCGCCCGCGGCTGCTGTCACAGACCAAGGTCCAAACCACTTGGGAAGCAGTTTGCCTGAAACATCCTGTTCCAGTGCAAACTCTTCCGCGGAGACCCAAACCAGATCACCGGCGCGGATGGGACATGGTACGCAACGCCTGTTGGCTTGCTGCTGCATGCGGACTTGAGCCTTTTGCATGTTTGCGCGGGATTGAGTCAGCAATTCCCTATACTTCTGGACGGAAGCGGGAGGGCAGGCAGCGTCAATGTCGGTTGGTCGAGGGAGGAGAAGGTCGGAGAAGATCCGGCCTTTCCGTCCACCATGGTGCAACTCGAATGGAGTCACGCCGATCGCCGGATGCACCGAAGTGTTGTAGGCGAACTCGATGTCGGGGAGGTGGTCAACCCAATCTTTCTGGTCCGGATGGATGAGCGTACGAAGCATCATTTGAGCGGTTTGATGTGCCCGCTCCGTCAACCCGTCTGTCTGTGGATGCCGAGCCGAACTTGGTTGCATCGTCGTGCCGAACTCCTGCATGAGAGAGGTCCAAAAAGTCGACATGAAACGAGTGTCGCGGTCGCTGACTATGTCTTCTGGTACACCGTGGCCACAAATCCAACCAGTGTGCAAGAGGCGTGCCAGCTCGGGAGCCGTGGAGTAGTACTTGCAAGGGAGAAAACGAGCGTACTTACTCAATCGGTCCACAACCGTGAGGATGCCGTCGTGCCCGAGCCGGTCGCGGGGAAACGGACCGGTGACGTCCATGGCAATGGAGAGACCAGCTTCCCGTGGGATAGGCATCGGGCGTAACACGCCGTAGGGATTGCGGTTGCGGGGCTTGCTGCGTCGGCAAACTTCGCAAGAGTCACAATACCGAGTGACGTCGGTAATGAGATCGGGCCATCGGAATCGCTGTCGAAGCCGTGCAATAGTGCGGTTGACTCCTAAATGGCCGGCGAGTCGCGAATCATGATACTCGCCGAGGAGGCGAGTCCGAAGACGGCGGTCGCGTGGGACACATAGTAAGTCCTTGCCTCTCGAGTGGAGGAGCAAGTACCCGTCGGCAATGCGATAGTGGCTGGCCGGCGGGTGATCCGAAGATAGCTGTGCATACAGCGTGGCGAAGTCCGGATCAGACTCGTATGCCCGGATGAAGTGTCGCTGAAGCTCCTCGTCGAATGCGAAGGCATGATGTGTCATAGCGCAAAGATCAGGTCTTCGCGATAGTGCATCTGCTGCGCGATTTGAGAGGCCGGGAAGATGTTTCGGTGTGAAGTCAAACTAGCCGATGAAGTACATCCATCGTCCGATCGTGCTGCTCACCGTATCCTGCGTCTTGTAGTAGGTCAATGGATTGTTGTCCGTAACCCATGTGAACCTACGACGCCCAAGGAGGAAGTGTCGCCATTGCTTGAGAGCCATGACGAATGCGAGCAGCTCCTTCTTCCTTGCATCATCAAGCGAGTTGATGGGAGACACTTTGTGGCTGAAATACTCCACAGGGTGCCAGTCGTCGCCGTCGTGCTGTTCCAAGACTGCCCCAATGCCATAGCCGGAAGCGTCTGCAGTCACTCGCGTCGGCAGGGTGGGGTCATAGATGCTAAGGATGGGTGCCATGAGCATGGCCGTCTTAAGTGCTTGGAATGACCGGCGTGTGTCGCCATCGAATACGAATGGCACCTTTGGCGACTGTAACCTCATCATAGGTGCAGCAATCCTGGAATATCCGGTGATGAATCGCTGATAGTAGCCCGCCAATCCCATGAATGAACGAACGTCCGTGGTGTTGGTGGGCTCGGGCCATACTCGTAGGGCCTCGATCTKGTCCGCAAKCGGACGGATGCCTTGCGGCRTCACATAATGTCCCAAGTACTCCARCTCCTGCCGYGCRAATTCGCACTTGTCGCGGTTGGCYTTGTACTTGGCTTRTCGTAGCCGCTCCAAAACGGTGCGCAGGTGTTCCACATGCTCCTCCAAACTCCGGCTGTACACCAGGATGTCGTCGAGGTAGATAAGTACGTATCGATCCAGCATGTGTCGGAACTCCGTTGTCATAGCCGCTTGGAAAGTGGCCGGGGCATTCGTAAGGCCAAAAGGCATGACCAGCCATTCGAAATGCCCATATCGCGTCTTAAACGCGGTCTTGTAGTGATCCTCCTTGCGAATCTCGAGTTGGTGATATCCCGACTTGAGATCGAGCTAGGAGAAGAACTTGGCGCCGCCCAATTGTTCGAGAAGATCGTCGATGCGTGGGAGAGGGCCGGCGTTTCTGATCGCTGCGCGTTGAGCTTGCGATAGTCGATGCACAACCGCAAATCCTTGTTCTTCTTCCGGACGAAGAGAACAGGAGCACCGTATGGCGATGAGCTAGGCCGAATCCAACCTTTCTCCAGAAGGTCGTCGAGTTGTGCCCGAAGCACACTTAACTCTTCCTCGCTCATTCGGTAGATGCAACCGCGTGGAGGTACAGCCCCGTCCTCGAGGATGATCTCGTGGCGGATGGGTCGATCCGGAACTACTCCGTGCGGGCCTTCGAACACGTCGCTGTAGGCGTCGAGAAGCTCGGTGATGCGTGGATCCGAAGGTGAGTCCGTCGATGAAGCGTCATGGGGCGGGAGGGCGTGGAACTAGTACTCCGTTCCGATCACGAATGTGAAAGGTGCGGTGGAAGAAGTTCACCGGGTGATCCTCGCTTCGCAGCCATGACATGCCCAAGATCATGTCAAATTTGGTGTCCAGAATGTCAAAGGATACCGCCTCACTTGCGTGAGGGGCAAAGTACACTGGGACGTTGTCAATGCACCGATCGATTGACTTGTGCGTGTGACTGTCCGCCAGCGTGACTTGCGTAGGCTGGGACTTCCTCTGGACGCGTGGGCCAAGGCCGGCACGCACCATGAAGTCCTGGCTGATGTAGTTGCGAGATGCTCCACAATCGATCAAGGCGTTGCAGGTCGCCTCTCCGATCTGAATGCGTACACATAGCAATGGTGCGTCGATGTCGTCGTACCGTTGCGTCTTGAACTCGCGGTCAATCTTCGCGATGTAAACGTGAAGGTCGACAACCTCTGCTCCGGCGTCCATCAATGGAGCTGGTACTGCAGTGTGCAAGTAGTCCCGCAGTTGTGCCATGAGCACATTGCAATGCGGTTTCGGCAATCGTCCGATCAAAGGAACGGGCATCCACTGGAAGTCCGTGAACGTCGGTGGGTCAACACCTCAAGTCTTGACCACAACGATGAATCCCCGACGATAGATGGCGGCGAAGCTGCCGAATCGGTTGTCGATGGTGATGAAACCGTGCACGCGGTAGATTGTTGCACGTGAAGCGGTTGGTCCAGCGGTGGAACCAAGTGGACAGCATAGTCCTTGTAAGTGTAACGAAAACCTGCGACATTCGCATCCTCCCCAGATGTGCAGGAGGCCGCTAGCAAGGCGGCCGAATCTGGCGGAGTAGAAGGTGGAGTCGCCTCACCTTCCGCGGAACTCAGTTTCCCGAGTTGAGGCGGGGTCGCGCATCCTCCTTGCCCTGATCCTGGCACAGGGACGTCTTGTGCTTGGTGTTGTTGCACCAATAGCAGCTGCCGTAGCGGCCGCGGACCTTGTACTCCGCCTCGGTCAAGCCGAACTTGACCCATGGAACTTGTACTGGCTGTCCATTTCCGGCCTGCGATGCGGATTTCGCCTTCCCATTGTTGCGGGACTTGTTGTTGCTTCGCGGCTGGATAGCAGCCACCTGATCTCCGTCACTTGATGCTGGTGTGGCTGCTGGGTTATCTCCACTGTCCGACTGGACTGCAGCGAACTGCTGCTGTCGCGGGCCAGTTCTTACCTTCTCCACATAGGTTGGCTGCCACGTGGACTTCTCGTGTGCAGCCGCCCTGTTGGTCTTGATGAGCTCTCTCGCCTTGTTGATGATCTCTACGAAAGTGTTGTACTGCTCGCGATCACCAAGTGCGAGGCTGAGAGCGGCGCATGACCTGTTGTAGAACTCACGCCGCAGATGTGGAAATGGCAAGTCCAAATCGGGCGTTGCCACGATCTTCTGCCAATCCGTGAGCCAGTCACGTGTCGGTGTGCTCCCTTGAGCCATCGTGAAGATGCGGTTGATGGCGAGTGTCGGGGCGTCGTCGACGATGAACCGCTTCTTCCATTCCTTTGTCATATCTTCCCAGGAGACCTTCTTGTACAGGTCTGAAACCTGGACGCCGTGGATGGTTGCCATGTGGCTGAGCCAGATCTGACATCCTCCCTTGGTGTTGATGAAAAGAGCACTGATGAACAAATGGTCAGGGACCTCGTGAATCCCCAACTCCGTTGTAAATCCTTGCCACCAGACGACTGGGTCTTGATGTGTGCAGTCATCAAATTTCTCGATCCGGAATGTCGGCATCTTGTATGGCCTCGCCGAGCTGTTGTTGTGGCTGTGGTCGGTCTGCTGTTGCTGACTGATCTTGGTGTCCAGCAACTCGAACCGCTGGCTGATGGTGGCCGGTTCTGTGAAGGCACTTATGTCTCCTAGCATTGCCACTACGTGGTCAACGCGTTCCTCCAGTTGGCGGCTAGAGGATGCACTGCTGGAAGCCCCAGCATCTGGTCCTGGTACAGCCTGTTCCAGGTCCAGTACACGTGCGTCCAGTGCCCGTGTGGCATCCTCGTGCTGAGTCTTATGGTTCCGCACGGCCCGCTGGAGGTTCGCCAGCTCGGACTGTAGGTGGTTACAAGTATAAACCAACCTGGTCACGAGCTTGGCCATGAACTCCTTATGCTGTTCTTTCGGTGTTGCCTCGTCGCCGTTCGGTTCAAAGTGCCAGAACTTGAGTCTGTCGATGCTACTGGCTTCATGCCGCTGCAGCAGATCCTGGGCTTCCTTGCTGCGAGCCTGGGCATCTGCGTCTGCTTCGGCCTGTAGCCGCAGCTTCTCTGCTGTTGCCGCTTCTTCAGCCTGTAGCTGGGACGCAAGGAAGCGGTTGCCCAGGCTCGCCGCGGCTGCCCAGCTTCTCTACTTCTTTAGACAACGCCAACTGAGAAGCGGTTGCCCAGGCTCGCCGCAGAGAAGCTGGGCAGCCGCGGCGAGCCTGCTGTTGCCGCTTCTTCAGCCTGAAGCAGAGAAGCAGTGCTGCCCGCTGTAGCCGCAGCTTCTCTGCTGTTGCCGCGGCTGCCAGCTGTGTCTGACGTGGCACTGTTGACGTGGCACTGCTTACGTGGCACTGTCTGACGTGGCACTGCTGACGTGGCACTGCTTATGTGGCACTGTATCTGATGTGTCACTGTGTCTGACGTGGCACTGCTGACGTGTCACTGTAGCTGATGTGTCACTGTTGACGTGGCCTGCTGACGTGTCACTGTGTCTGACGTGGCACTGCTGACGTGTCACTGTACCAACCCGGAAATGCATGCAAAGGGTGGGTGGGAGGGAAAACGCAGGTAGGAAACCAGCCCAACAATACTTTCCTCCGGCCCTAATCAACAGATAAAATAAAAAATAAAAAATAAAAGAGGACTACTTCCTTTTTTTTTTTTTTTGTATATATCTGTCGATCTATGATGAGTACGATATGTCAGAAGAGTATTATGAACGAGATCTAGGCTGGGTTCCGCAAAGTTTCGGCTTTTACAAACTGCGATCTTGAAAAAAAATAATTTTTTTTTGCGAAATGGAGTAAAGATGCGATTTTCAGAAAAGAACGAATTCCAGTTGCTGAGAATATGGCAACCTACGAATATGCCTAACGCAATATTGGTAGGCTTCGCAAGATTTCGGTTTTCAAAAAAATTTGCGAGACAGAAAGGAAATTCGATTTTCAGAAAAGAATAATTTCAGTTTCCGAGAATATGACCACTTCTATCGTTATCCCAATATGCCTAGAGAACGAAATACTAACTTCAGAAATTTCAGCTATGTATGCGAAATATCAGAGAAACGAAAAGCTACTATTGGGAATTTTCAGACAAAACGAAATGCGATTTATCAGAAATTT